TACCGGTTTCTCAAATCAAGGCCCGGCCCTGTGGCCGGTCCAGGCGCCCGCCATGGTGACTATCAGCCTCCTGCAGCCCTCACTGTTCGTTCCAGGGCCAAGGTGAAGCAGGTCCGACGCATACAAGCCTTCGCCTCCCATCTGGCATCGCTGCGCCAGCGTGGCCCCGACAGCGTGAACCAAGCCTCGCCCCAGCTGCTAGCGGAGTGGACCGCCATACTCAAAGCCAGGGCCTATCCGCCGGATTTCATGCATTGGCTGATGCAGGCAGCCCCTTTGGAGGTGTTCTTCCACGGCCCACCTTCCACTTGCACTTCTGCGCCGGTTGTGGATGCGTTCCCTCCCAGTGACTGGCTCCAAGACGTACTTGCTTTTGTCCGTTTTGACTGCGAGGCTACAGTCCGGCAAGAAGACAAGGGCCGCCGCCAACTGCAGGCTTATCGCAATGGGCTCGATGCCGCAACAGGTTATGGGCAACAATTCAAGGCCCTCAGACGGCCCAGCCATCCAGCCTTCCAGGCGCTTCCGGTTTTAGAAAAGCAGGCTGCCGAGTTTGGGTCGCTTAAGCAGGATGAGGTCCATGGCGACCGCCTCTGGCTCCGCCATGATGACGGCTCAATGCCAGTCGTTTTTCAATTGTGCCAAAAAACTGAGGCCTCAACTCCCAGGGAGCTCCAGAGGCAGTTTGCCCAATATTGGGCACCCATCTGGAACAGGGACGCGGGCCCAGCCCGCACGGAGCTGGATCACTGGGAGAATTTTGTGTCTTCTCTGCCATTGCCTCCCGAGCAAGCGCGACACACCACAATCGACCTGGATGACCTTGCCATGTGGCAACAGCAGTTGCGACGCATGAATGCCCGGAGCGCCACAGGATACTGCGGCTTTGCCATCTCGGAGTTGAAATGGTTGCCTGAGGCTCCGCTCCGTGACCTTGTTGCACTCTTCAAACAATGTTCCGTGTACGGGTGGCCACGGCACCTCGGAAGAGCAACCGTTTCGAGTCTCGCCAAGGTCGCCACGCCTGCCGGTATGGACCAGTCACGGCCAATCACCATCTTTGCCAGCCTTTACCGATTCTGGTCGGCCACCATGTGTACCAGTCTACTCTGTCAATGGGCAGAATGGCTGCCCGAGGGCATCACAGGATGCATTCCTGGTCGCTCTGTACGCGACCTCTCGCTCGGCATTGAGCTCCAAGTTGAATCCAGTTTCCGGTCTCACCAGCCTCTGGGCGGTTTCTCGCTGGATGTGATTAAGTGTTTCAATCAGCTTGCAAGGCTGCCCCTCCGCTACTTGTTGGGCCACCTTCATGTGCCTGAAACTGTTCTGCATCCCTGGTTCGAGATGCTTGCAGGGTGCCATCGGCTGCCAGTGTTCCTTGACTGTATCGGCGCTCCCATCATGTCCACAACTGGGATGCCGGAGGGGTGCCCACTGTCAGTGCTGGCTCAAGTTGCAGTGTGCTGGGCTGCCGATCAGCGCCCGTTGCGTGATGGCGCCTCCCTTTCTTCCTATGTGGACAACCTCACGTGGACCGCCCCCACCAGCCAGGGCCTGCAAGATGCACTGCTTGACGCACAGGTTTTCTGCCGAGACCTCCAATTGCCTATCGACTGGAAGAAGTCTTTCTGCTGGGCCACCAACAAGCCCATGCGTGCATGGTTAAAGGGCCCTGCCCAGAACCTGTTGCCACCGGAGACCTTTTTGCAACTAGTCCCACATGCCAAGGACCTTGGCGTTGCCTTCCGTTTTCGCCCCACAGCAGGGCTGCAATCAGCAGGCAAAAGACTCACCGAAGGACACCGCCGCCTTGAGCTGGCTCAACGCAACAAGTCGCCTCTGGAGGCAGCATACTTGATCCAATCCAGCATTTGGCCAGCTACGCTGTACGGCACGGAAGGCCGGCTTCTCCCTGAGGCAGAGCTCACCTCCCTGCGCACAGCGGCCACCAAGGCCATGATTGGGGATCGGCACTCCGCCAGCCCCGTGCTTACTCTTTCTGCACTCACACCGCGGGTGATGGATCCAGAGTTGTACCATCTTTGCCAAAGCATTGCGGCGCTGCACCGCATGTTGCAAGTGCGCAGGTGTCAAGGGCTAGCGTGGCTCCAGGCAACCCTTGCGTTACAAGGTACAGGCTGCCGCCCGATCGGCCCCGCTTCCACTCTCGCGCGGCTGCTCGACCGCCACGGATGGGTCTTGAGGGACAATGGTCTGTTGCTGGGCCCAGGACATGCTGCTTTTAACTTGATGGCGGATCGCCCTAAGCACATACGTGCCATGCTCCGCCTGGCCTGGTTGGACTTGATTCCGGAAAAGGTCGGCCATCGCAACGGCCTTCGCGCTGTGGCCCCGCCCGTGCCAGCAGTTACTGATGCCGTGCTCCGGCCGCTGCCCCCGGGTCATCAACGGCACATCGCACAAACCATTGTTGGAGCTTTCCTGTCTAACAGTGCACGCTCCACATGGGACCCGCTGCAGTGCCCACAGTGCGAGTTGTGCGGCCAGACGGATACCAAAGCCCACCGTCTCTTGGAATGCCCAGCCACCGCCCAGGTTCGGCATCACTTCCAGCCCCTTCTTGACTGGATCGCGACCGACAGCCCCCACTGGCTTCATTGTCCGTTCCCAGTGCAACATGACCAGGAGCCTTTCCTAAGACTGCTTTGGAGAAGCCGCCATCTGCACGCGCCACAGGACATAACGCCCTTGCTTCAAGCCACGGCGGCCACGGAACTTAAGCTCTTCACTGACGGCACGTGTGCCTGGCCTAACCGCCCTGCCGCCCGTCACGCAGCGTGGTCGGTGTTGGCCTACTTCGGTCCGGATGGTACCGCAACATCTGCCCAGCTGGCAACATGGAAAACCACCGGCGTCCTGCCCTCTGGCTGGCATGTGCTCGCCCAGGGACTCGTCCCTGGCCCGCAAGACATCAACCGGGCGGAAGTCTGTGCAATTCTCCAGGCCTTACGGATTGCGGCCCAGCATACACAGATTGTCACCACGATCTGGTCTGACTCGGCCAATGCCATGCGAGTCATTGCACAGCGTGCTCAGACCCCCCGTGGTCCCGCTACCGTCACCTTTTGTGACGACCTTCTGCCTGACGATCTCCCCCAGCTGCTGCAAGCCAACGTTCGTTTACTGAAGGTGAAAGCCCACCAGAGCCTTGTACCGAGTGATTACATCAACCAGGATACCGAGCTGTTCTGCGCGATTGGCAACGCCTTTGCAGACGAGGCTGCCAAACAAGCGCGACTGCAGGATCATGACCTCGCAGTGCAGTCTTGTGACCAGGTGAACCAGTGGTATACTGAGCAGCACGAACGTTTCTCATTCTTTGTGACTTACCTTCTTGAGCTCACTAAGGTTGTGGTCCCCCTGAAACAGGCATACCGTCAGGAACTTGCCGGATGTCACGATGCCGCGGAGGACCAACAACAACTCTCCAACTGGATCGCACTACAGCCCCTGGCAACGGACGTGACATGGCCAACCGGCCTTCCCGCTTCCATCGGAGGCCACGCTACAGGATGGCCACAGTGGTTCATGGATGCGATTTTACATTGGGCTCATAACCTTCAGTGGCCCAGCCCCCCGGGGCAACATCACCGCCATGCAGGAATCACTTTTCTGGAGCTCCTGATTGATTTCGCGCTGTGTACCGGCCGCCTGCCACCGGGGAGAGTCACCACTCCGCAGCGGCCTGCTGAGTGGTATGACCCTCTCTCGGCAAAGGGTATCATGCAACCCGTCATCTTGCGGGAATCTACTGTCATGCTGGTTACTGCAGTGAACGTGCTACAGAGGAAATTCAAGATTGGCATTTGGCCGAGCCCCAGACATCACAAACTACGTACTTTGGAACTTCTGGGGTGCCGACAAACGCGCAAGGGCCTACTCCACCGACCGCTTTTGACGAGTCAAGCAGAGGTTGGCCAAGTCTTGAGTTCGATTCTACGTTGCAACCAACCAGGGGAGACACTTCGAGAAGCAGTCTGGCAAAGCCAAGCTCACAGGTACCTCCAATAGTTTTGTTCGAGCATCGCCTAACACAGGCTTTGCCAAGGGATGGCCAAAACGGCCACGGACAAGGATCGCGAGTTCGGACCAGCGGGAGATGCAGTGCCGCCCTTGGGCTAGCCTGCGCTCTCCCCCCTTCAAACCCGTCAAAGGTAAAGGGTCTAAGTCTAGGTGCCAGGTTGAGGGTTTAGGGTGTAAGGCTTAGGAATAAGGGTTTAAGGTCTAAGGTTTAGGGTTTAAGGTTACGGTCTCACAACCAACCCGTAGCGCTCAAACGTCAAGCGCCCAGTGGAAAAGCAACCCCCCAATCGTCAAAATCCGCGAACATCACGCTGACAACCGTTTCACCGAATTATCCCGAGTTGTGAGTTGACTTTGTCCGGTGTGCGGTTCAGGGCTTGGGGTTCAATATTCAGGGATTCAGGAATGGGGTGTGTGTTTGAAGGTTTCAGGTTGGGGCCCACAATATCCGGCTCGGGGTTTAGTTCTCTTGCGCCTATATGATCGGGAACTCTTGGCCCCTAATTAACAACCATTAAACCAACAGGAGTGAGGCGAAACGTGAAGTCCAGAATTTCCCTTGTAGGCCCGGCAGTTAGATGCGGTTCAGGCCTGTTGGGGTGAACTTGGAAGTTCATGGGTAGTTATAAGTCGGGTTATAAGTAGGGTAAATATACATATGACTCATAATAGGGGACTTATAACCCTACTTATAACTACCAATAAACCTCCAAGTAGTGTCGGTGAATATCCGACTCTCCTGCTAACCCACGGAGGGGCCTACATGCAACAGCGGTGTGGGGTACGTTGCGCCATATCTTTGCGCCGGCATAGAGAAGCCAGCGTCACGACCACGACCCTAAACTCTAAACTCACTCAACGCTAAACCCACTGAACCCAAACCCTAAACCTACTAAGCCCTAAACCCTAAACCCTAAGCCCTCGTGCATCCTCTGAAGCTCTTAGCTCTGCGCCCATGGTGCCTTTCACTCCGATGCAATAGTCACCTGCAAGGACAACTCAAATCCTAAAATCCTTCTGCCCGGTTTAGGGTTTAAAGCCCCTGAAACCTTCAAACCCCTACGGCTCTTTCGCTCTCAGAACCTGAGCTTCTGCTTCTAGGATTCTAGGGCCTGGGCCATGTAGGCTCTCCCAACAAGATCGTTATTAGTATGGTGATCTGTGTTCTTTAGTATCATTGTCATTCTTGCTACCATCCTTTAGCTATTAGCTTGTGTATTTGCTTATCGGACAAAGTTTTGGGCGGTTTCTGGGCTTGGGTTTGAGGGTTGCGGGCTCGGGAGTTCGGGGTTGGGATTTGTGGTATGGGGGTTTACTTGGAAGCGCAGGGGACTTAGTAAGTAGGTTACAAGTAGTGTTATAAGTACCCCAAATGGAGTTACCCCAATTATAATCCTACTTATAACCTACTTACTAAGGCCCCTGCCCTTCCAAGTAGGGTTCAGGGCTTGGTTTGGGGGGCTGAGGGTTCAGGGTACTTCAGCTGGGGCTTGCAGTAAGGTTCAGGGTTTCGGGTTCGGGGTTTGTTTCGCTGTTTAGTGTAGGGGCTTCAGTGGCAGTGGTTGGAATGGGGCTTTGGAGCAGTTTGACAAGCATAGACTTTGAAGAAGAGGCTTTGGGAGGGGGCATCATATCATCATGGTCTACATGTGAATGCCAACTGCAGGTTGTGGGCCTCTCTCTCTCTGTTCTATCCGCAGTTGCTTCACCTTGGCTTGGCGCCTGCACGGATCAAAACTTCATGAGAGCACCAGGACCTTAAACCCTCAAAACCCTCAAACGCTTAAACCCTAAACAACAAACCCACAACCCCAAATCTCTAAGCCTTGAGCTTCAGAAAATCCAAGGTCGGCATGCACGAACTGACCCCTCGAAGGCATGTGGCCACAAGGGTTCCTTTACGGCTTCCTTGCCGGGGTGCAAACTGTAATCCAGGGGCCTGAGTGACTTGATATTGTAGTTTCCCGATGTTCAGAAGCCCGGAGGACTAGTGTGGGTCATAGTTCTGGGAATTCGCGCGCAAGCCATAAACCCAAAGCCCTTAAGCCCTGAATCTTTAGCTCAAGGTGTTGCGGGATATTCTACCAGCTCCTAAACGAGCCGCTTCTTGAACCCCCCCCCCGCAAAAAAAAAAAGTAGCCTCTAAAAAGAAGGAACAAACTGTTTTACCCGCCCTAAACCCTATACCCTAAACCCTAAACCCTAAGCCCTAAGCCCGTAAAGCCCTAAACCTTAAACCCTACATACCCTAGAAGCCCTAAACCTTAAAGCCTATACCCTGCACTCTAAACCCCATAAAAGCCCTAAATCTCAAAACCTACACCCAAACCCTCCAGCCCTAAACCCTAAAGCCCCAAAGCCTCCTAGAGCCCCGACTAGACTCCCCCTCTAAAGGAGCCCTAAAACTTGTCTACCCAGAGAGCCCAATACCCCTTAATTTTCGGAATATGGCCCGCCGAGGCCAGAGGCCCAGGCGTCTTGGGGGTTACCCCAGCCACCCTCCACCTAATCCTCCTCCCTGGAAACACCCGTTTTTTGCGTTCGTTTGCCACCCTCCCCTCATTTTACCTGATTTGTCGGCCTCCCCCCCCCCCCCCCCCCCCCCCCCCCCCCCCCCCCCCCCCCCCCCCCCCCCCCCCCCCCCCCCCCCCCTCCCCTACCCATTCTCCTCGCACTTCGTATCAACAACCGTGTAAAGGTTGGGGTTTGACAGGCCGCCCTAGCATAAAAAAACATCGACTGCCCCCTCGCCCTGCCGCTACACAGCCGAGGCGGGCAGCGTAGCGTTAAAATTATAATGGGCTTCATATTCTGATTTAAGCCATATTCCTTAATTAAGGGGTATTGGGCTCTCTGGGTACCAGCCGGCCTTTTGGAGTGACTTGCTTCAGCCAGCCGTAAGAGCGGAAGTAGGATTTCGACCACGTCCACCCTCAGACCGCAGCCGCGTGGTTTGGGCTTTCGTCGTCTTAGGTTTAAGGTTTAGGGGCTTAGGGGTTCAGGGTTTTAGGGTTTAGGGTTTGTGGTTTAGGGCTTTTGGCTTAGGGGTTTCGGGTTTGCTTGGGAAGGTCGCAGATCTTGCGACTTTTCGATCGTGACCCTCGAAGCCCTACGTGTAGAGAAAGCCCCGATTATCTGGAAAACCCCACCGCCCTGGAACGCGAGGATGGAATTCGAGACAGTATGAGACCCCCTAGACCTCTTAGTGACTTAGTGCAACGGCCTTCGTAAATGGAAGAGGATATTGAGAGTGTTTTCTCCTACAAGCATAAGAGAAACCCCAATAAGGAGCAGTATGAATGGCTCATCTGGCACTTCCGTCACCCCCTTACGACCAGGTTCCTAAGTAGCCCCTTTAGAATAAGGGTACCCCAAGATTCAGTTTCTGAGTTGCTGAGTTCATAAGCCCCAAAAAGTGTACACTTTCAGTTTTATAGAGTGTAACATTATCCCAAAAAGTGCAAATTGTATACACTCAGCTACTAAGGTTTTAAACAAGGGACGCTAAAACAAAAAGTGCAACAGATTTCTACTGAGGAACCTGGCAAAAGCGTCGAAGAGTCCCTGAAGACTTACCTTTGGTTAGTAGGGAATGGAGGAATGGGGTACCATTATACCTACTAGTACTACCATTCTTCCATTCCCTACTAACCAAAGGTAAGAAGTGGGACTTAGTAAGTAAGGTTATGAGTACCTTAATTGGGGTTATCGGTAGTTATAAGTACAGTTTTACCCTAATTATAATCCTAGTTACTAAGTCCTATGATCCTTTAAGTCAGAGATCCCTTTAAGGAACCCCTATAGATCCCTCTTAAGGAGCCCTTTAAGGAGCCCTAGTTACTAAGTCCCATGACCCTTTAAGTCCCTGAAGAAGACCCTTCCTGGGACTCCAGGCTGCTCCCGGGCCAGTCGCAGGAGCCCAGAAATATGCGGCCATCTCCTTTGCAACCAAGACATACGGTTGATGCTAGAAATCCTGCATGACCCATAAGCCATAAGAAGGAATATACCATAATTCTCATAGTTTAGGGTCCTTAAGGTCATGCAGGAGTTATATCATCAACAGTAGTTTGGCTGTAGTGCTCATTATTCATTGTTTAGACGGCTCTCTGCGGTTTTGGCCTCCGAACAGAAAAGATTCCTGCCCCTAAGCCCTAAACTCTAGACCCTAGACCCTCGACTCTACTTCCGAAACTCCCAACCCTCAACCCTAAACCCGAAACCTTGAACTTGAAATCCATACCCCTAAACCCTCGCCTCCAAATGATGAGCCCTATGTAAAACCTAAGGGGCTTGAACCTGAAATCCGAAAGAAAAACATAGCTTTGAACGATAAACCCCAAGGGGGCTTGAACCTGAAATCCGAAAGAAAAACATAGCAGTGAGGCTTGGGCCACCCAGGAGCACGCAGAGGTTTGACTCCCCCTCTCCCAAGCACTCCAGCTTGCCCTGGCTTTCGGGCTTTCGGGCTTGGGGCTTCGGCTTTAGGGTACAGGGTTAAGGGTCTCAGGGTGTAGGTTTCTTTTAGGGTATAGGGTTTAGGGTTTAAGATGGCTTTCGGGCTCAGGCTTCGGGCTTCGGCTGTAGGGTATAGGGTATAGGATATAGGGTTTAGGGTGTTAGGGTCTAGGGTTTACGGTATAGAGGATAGGGTGTTTAGGGTTTCGGGTTTAGGGTGTAGGGTACAGGGCATAAGGATCTTTTTATCTATGTTGACGGTCGGACGGGGTTTAGCGTATAGGGTTCAGTCTGGCCCTGGAGCTTTGAGGATCAAGTCTTTCGAGGCGTGCCGTGCCGAAGAATGAGCGGGGATTGATTGGTCCTGATGGACTCTGCTTAAACTTTTTTTCGCCAAACCTGGGCGTCATCCACCTCGTAGTAACCCGTACAGAGGGCGATGGCAAAGAAGCCCGAAATCGGAAACCCCCTCCAAATCCAACCTTGACACGGCAACAGAAGCGGATTTAGGGGCTTCGAGCTTGAGGTTTTGGCTTCGAGTCACGGGTTCAGGGAAGGTCCCCAAAAACCCTAAACCCCTAAACCCCTAAGACTGGTGCGGCTGACGTCTCGGAGCCGGAACTGCTGCATTCGCGAGATTGCGGCCCCACAGTCCTCTTATGCTTTCAAGTCGTCATGGTGTAGACAAGCTTGCTCTGAGGGGTTTAGGGGGGACCTAGGGGTTTAGGGTTTATGGTTTAGGGTTTAAGGTTTAGGCTCAAGACTCCTTGCTCTACTTAGAGGTTCATGGGTAGGTATAAGTGGGGCTACAAGTTGGGTAACTATACTTATAACTCCTTTTAGGGGACTTATATAACCCTACTTGTAACTACCCATGAACCTCCAAGTAAGACTCTAAGAGTTTGGGCTCAGGGTTGGGAGTTTGGGGTTTAGGGTTTAAAGCTTGTGGTGTTCGAGCGCGACGCTCCTTGCTTTCTGAAATTCCCGCATCGCACCGAGCGGTTAAACCCTAAACCCTTAAACCCTAAACCCCATAGATCCCTTTAAGGATCCCTATAGATCCCTTTAAGAATCCCTATAGATCCCTTCAAGGAGCCCTTTAAGAACCCTTACTAAGTTCCTTAACTCGGGAAGCTGATATGGCCGGAAGAGAGCTTGACCAGAACCCGGTGTAGCATGGTTTAGGGTTTAGGGTTTAGGGTGCCCGAAACAACAGATTCCTTGCTCAAACACACTCCCAACAGGGACCCGCAATTAAAAGACGCCCCCGTGCGTGGATAGGTGCAAGAATGCCAGAAACAAGTACGAGCTTGAGCACCGCCCTCTTCAACTCCAACGACTCAACCAGAAAGCCCTTAATCTGATGCAACAGATTCCAGAAGCAGAGAAAGTGTTGACAATCGAAAACAATCCAAGCCAATCCGCTCGTCAGCTCTCCCCTATGCAGACCCCTGGAAGGATCCAGAAAGTATTTCCGGGCTCTGGGTACCAGCAGATATGTTTGCTGTTCTATCTTTGCGTCCTAGCCGCCACACTGGCTCCGGAGTCTTTCATCAAGACCCCTACCCTAAACCATCTGAGCCGGACAATCCTATACTATCTCTAGAGGCACTGAATTCCGAACCTAAACAGCCCTGCAAACTCCAGCGGCAATATAGACGCCTGAAGAACTACCCCAATACTATTCTAGGATTCCTTGATACAACTGTGATGCCATAAAATTACCCAAAGCCCTATTCTAAGTACTAAGGCCCCTTTATGAAGCCCTGCCCCTTGAGCTCCAGGATCATGAGGCCGTCCCCGGTGTTTCCGAAGCCTGCAAAGCTAAGACACCTCCGGCTCGAGATGCGTTCGCGCCATGCTTGTTGATTGATGCTAGTACTCTTTCTATCTTAGATCGATAGATAACCTCATCGAAACGATTTATCTAACTATATATATATATATATGTATACATATTATATATATATATATATATATATATGAGTACACACGTGTACATACATATATATATATATATGTATACACACACACACACGCACAGCTCAGGGTTGAGTTGATGTTAGGATCTAGGGTCTAGGGACCCTGAAGCCTAGACCCTAAGCTATTCAGCTTTCGGTGAAAAATATGGAGAGAGCTTTGGCAGCGTAGGCCCACATATCCGAGCTCTCGTTTCGAGCTTGGGGCTCGGAGTTTGAATTCCAAGATCAAGGTGAAAGATGTATGCTTATCAAACTTTCCCTTAAGACCCCCAACCCTCAAGACGCTATCAACTGTAACCCTAGACCCTGCATCTTACGCTGCCGAAGCTGGTGGTTGAGGTTTCAGGATGCAGCACAGGACGGATCAGCAGGGTTCCTTTGCCGATTCCCTCCAGCGGCTTCTATGAGGGATACGAAAAGCGCTCTATGACACCGGGACCCAAATAGTCAGAACCGGGGTTTTGCTGCGTATAGTTTCGATGAGGTATGTAATCAGGCTTCTATGTGACACAGAGCCGGGCCATAGATCTTCCTCACCTTTCGAAAACAGACTAGCCGAGCGGGGATAGCAAGCCAGGATAGCTCTATTTGGAGGATCATGGGGCTGAGAAAGTATTGTTATAAGTACCTTACTTGGGGTTATAAGTAGGTATAAGTATAGTTGCCCTAATTATAACCCAAGTCACTAAGTCCCATGATCCTTTAAGTAGCCGACCTGTTGATTCACAATTGGCCAGTCGGTGACATTGTGGTCTGGATGGTGAAGCCCCAAGGCTTAGACAACAAAGAGATCCATGCTCGTTCGGATCCGGATCTGTCATCTATCTGCACCGGGGGACGATGCAGAAAAATCGCTGAAGCTGACATCGGACAGTTGTCCAAACCAACCCCAGCCCACAAGCTAAACCCATCTAAACCCTAAACCCCTGAACCCTACTAAACCTTACTTAAAGGATCATGGGACATAGTAACCAGGCTTATAATTACGGTAACTATACATATAGCTACTTATAACCCCAATTAAGGTACTTATAACCTTACTTACTAAGTCCCATGATCCTCCAAGTAATGATTCTAAACACTCAACGCCGAACCCTGAACCAGAAGCCCCACCAGCCAGCATTCGAGCCCTGGGCCTGTGGCTGAGCTTGTTCTTCAGCAGTGTGTAGGGTGCGTTCTGCGCCTCGCCATCTTGGCTTTAGGATTTAGGGCTTTAGGGTTTAGGGCTCTTGGATTTAGGGTTTTAGGGTTTCCTTTTTTACCCAAGGGTTTAAGGTTTTGAAATTTAGGGCTTATGGCTTACGGTTTATGTGGCTAAGTTACTATAAAGCCCAAGCACGAAAGCATGTAGGGGCACGTATGACTCGAACAGGATTCTGGGATATACTCTAGGTGATTGATACTGAGAAATCCTGTGGAACTGCACTGCTAAGTATTTGGGTCTGCTGCAGGCCTGCATCATCGGCTCAGGGCGACTGCCCATGCACTTCACCTCGAAGCATACGTTCACCGAAGAAGGCCTGTTATGAGACCCACCCTGAAACCCGAAACTCAGGCAGTCAAGCTCAATATGTAGGAACCTGACTATCAAACCTTGGCCTTGTAACCCCACAATATTAGGATCCATATGAAGCGCCCTCATGAAGACCCAAGGTTTCTGAATCAGGGTTCTTATATTATACTCCCCAAGCCGGCTATCCACTCGAAGCCAGCTCTCACAAGCAAGCACGGTTTCTTCGAAGTTCCTCCAAGACAAAAGAATGGAGTGGCGTAAACAACCTTCTACGCGCGCATTGCTGTGCAATTTAAAGAGCAGAGTAAGGAACCCTGAGGAATAGCATTATTCCAAGGGTAAAAGGAAGGAGGACCCTTAGTAAGGACCCCTAGGTATATACCCTTAATATAGCTGTTATATACCCAGTATATAGCCCATTTTAGGGTAGGGGTCCCCATTAAGGGTCCCTCCTTTTCCCTTTGAACTATTAAGTCTTCAGGCTTCCATATTGGCAACTGGTGGATCCCAGCTCAAGAGGTCAGGGTTCCAATGTGGTGGCGCCCAACTTTCCTGCTTGATAGTCCATGGCATCTCAATCCGAACCGAAGTCCCCACTGCGATGCAGGAGCATGTAAATATTGGAGCCTGGACTTCTAGAATAGGGTTAGAAGGCATTACAACATGATGGACTGATGTGGCTAAGTGTACACGCTTCTATAATAGCCTTGCTTCCTTTGAGTCTCTTAGAGTCTACAGTAAGACCCTTCCGAAACCTTGAAGCCCCGAGCTCCGAAAACCACCGAAGAGAGCAAGGCTTTAACGTCCCAAGAAACCCCGTCACCCTAAACCCTGAGGCCCTAAAGCCCTAAGACCCCGCCAAAACCCTTCAAGAGTCCCATAAAGCCCTTATCAAAGACTGTTTTCAAAACTATCAAAGCCTGTTTTGAGAATCAAGGACCGTTTTCCGAACTGTCAAGGATTGTGTTCAGAACCGCCAACGACTGTTTTCAGGAGTGTCAAAGAGGCCGAGAAGAAACCCAGCGGGGCCTTGGCACTCATTTGTAGAGCACTCCAGGCCTCATCGGGCATTTTGGAGCTTTGGATTTAAGAGCTTACCCTAAGGCTCCATAGTAGTTCCTTTTTGGGATTACCTGATAGGATTCTATATATGAACCCCAGAAGGGTTTACCTGGACCCTAAGGAACCTATCTTAGGGCTCCCTAAATGATTTCTTTATATAAGTCCTTAAAAAGGTAGGCTGCTTGGGGTTATTAAGGTAGGGCTTTTTAGGGCAATCACGAGGATTAAGGGTTTGGGGCAGTTTGGAGCTCGGGCTTTAAGGTTTAGAGTGCTGTTGTCATCTGGAGTTCGGAGTGGAACATGCCGGGCGCAGGAAAGCTAGTTAAATGGATCCGGACCCGTCCCCATGGATTCTATTGGATTCTAGGGTTTCGGGTTTCGGGTTTAGGCTCCCCACGTCAACACACACTCGTGGTGAGAGCGATGACTCGGGGCTAAACCTTCTGGACGTCTTGGACGTTAAGGAGCGAGGCTTTAAAGAACAGCTTCTGAGTGTCCCTGCATCTGAAAACTTGGAATTCGTCGACGAAGAAAACCGTCTTGAAAAACCCGGCGCCCGGTAATTATGGACCCTGTTCCACCGCTTGAATCGAAGCTTCATGCCTCGGAAGCCCTAAACCCTAAACCTTAAACCCTAAATCTCATGTAAACCCTTAAACGTCTGTCAAGCCCCTTAAACCCTTACAGACCCCCCCCAAGTCGAAGCGGTGCCTTGAGCCAAGGAGCCCTTCTAGGAACCCTTTGAGAGACCCCTGTAAGAAACCTTTTGCAAGCAACCCTGATAGACACCCTTTACAGAAGCCCGTGTTTAGGAACCCTTATATGGACCCTGCAAGAGGCAATCCGAAGTATTGCCGAGTACCGAACGCAGCTCTCCGACTCCAGTCCCGCGCACTCGTCATCCCCCACCTCAACCATAGGGACCCCGAGGGGTGTAGGGGACTATATTTCCTTAAATAGGCCTTATTAGTCCTTATTACGGGCCTTAAGGCCCCCTACCCCCCCTCCCCCTACACCCCTAAGGATCCCTATGACTCAACCATCCGCTTCAGGCTTTAGGTTCCAGTTTGAGGGCCAGTGGGGTCTGTAGGGCTTCGGGAGGATGAGGGCTGGGGGCTCAGGGGTGAGAGGGCTTTGGAAAGTGTGTGGCGTGAACCGCTGGAGCTTCTGAGCACATTGAGATCTTGACGTGAGCACTGCCGATGGGTGGTCGTGATTTCTGCAAACATCTTCAGCTTGCTACCTCTCGGGATAGTGTCGTTACGGAAACGAAGAATTACAACAATTATGGCAACAAACAACTAATGCGAAGAAACACAGACGGCAGCTGCAAGCAACATGACCCAAGCAAGCCCTCAATGGCCAGACGACACCGGAAAACCAATGCCCCCACTTGTAAGGCCTGTATCGCCGTCCTGAGGCTCAGCCAACCTGCAACGCTGAAATCCCAGAAACGCCCAGACCAGGATCACACAACAAATTAATTTGGCACCCTTTCTGCCAATGGTAGTTTTGATTGAAACAGGTTTGTTAAATCTAATTTCAGGTTCTTGCGGAGGATTGGATATCTGAACATTCCCTGACCCCTCGAAGACTCAGTCCGACGCCAGCATCTCTTGGCTAAATGCCGTGACCTTGTCCCACAGTACCAGACACGACTGGAGGGCAACTCATGGTTTAGGGTTGGGGTCGCTCTCTGCAGGTGCAAAATCTTGGCATCTCTAGATGAGCCAGAAGGGCTTTATCGCCAGATGGAGGTCCTTCTTGCATAGAACTACCACCCTACCTCTAAGCTGCTCCGACATAACTAACAATAAACTTCGAGACATGAAGAAAGCACAGGCAGGTACTAGTGCCATCAAGTCGCCAGCAGGAATGAGAACCAGAGCAACGGCGCCGAAGCCATCAGCGGAAAAAGCTGTCTTTGCAGCCTGCCAGGCCATGGAAAGTAAGGGTTTGCTTGAGTGCTTCAGCATTTCAGAGCCTCAAACCGTTAAGATGCTATAGGACGCAAGAACATAAGACTTCAGGGCACGTCCTTCTACCTACGCCCCCAAAGCTACTGCCTGAAGCCGATACCAGAACCTCTGTATCAACACAGTCCTGCATTTCACGAGTATGTAGGTGTAAACGCTGATGGGAACATAGACACTGTTAGACGTATACAGCCAAGAGAATACGCTAACCCTGAACCCTGTCCTACCTCTCAAAACCAAACCGCAATATCCTGTGCCTGAAAGGCACAGTTCTCGGCTTAAGACACAAATCCTGACATCAACTCTCCTCCACCACCTCCTAAAACTAGCACGGAAGGAATGAACCCGGGAAAGAAGACTCGAGACTCGAACAGAAGTACGAGTGCAAAGAAATATGGGCAGAAGCCCGCATTTGCAAGCACACAACAAGCGAATGCGAAGATCCCCCAAAAATCCCACTTCCTGCCTCAGCGTCCGGTCGGACACTCCAAAAGCCGTGCAAGCTCCTAAACCTACTTCCTAGTGGGCTTCGAGGCAACGAGGAATGCTGGGCTTCGTTTGGCACCTCAAAACGCAGGCACATGTCGGCCTGATAATGATTGCACCGATACAGTGATCACGTGCCCGGACGCGAATGTGCTAACCATAAGGCATGGCATCTCTTGGCAATATATGGGGGTTTCCGAAAACAGGGGACCCTAATATTGTACCCAATAGTAGGATCCTTATTACAAGGACCCCAAAATAAGGTACCCCTAATTTTTGGAAACTCCCATATCGGCCACAGCCACATGCTGAGAGCCGCAGGCTGAGTTGCATCAAGCAAAGGACTTGGGCTCCCAGCTAATGTAGGGGGGCCTTAATAAGTAGAACAGGGTTTTGGGGCCCATTATACCACAATTATAAGGAACCCCCGAAATAGTACGAAACAGTATAGTATATTCCTGGTATTCCTGTGCAGACTCCAGAGCCCTATTCGGGCGCGTCTCAAATAGTATAGTATAAGTGATTATTTAGGCCCCTATATGGGAGTTTCCGAAAATAGGGGACCCTAATATAGTACCCTAAGTAGTAGGATTCTTATTATAGGGACCCCAGATAAGGTACCCCTAATTTTTGGAAACTCCCATATTACCCTCGGAGGTGCCATGAAGCTCTGGGCTTCGGGGTCTATCTTCGCGTAAGGACTACGACTTCGCCATTTGGATCTTCGGCTCAACTTGCATATGGGGGTTTCTGAAAACAGGGGGGTCCTAATATAGTACCCTAAATAGTAGGATCCCCATTAGAAGGACCCCAGAAGAAGGTACCCCTAATTTTCGGAAACTCCCATATCTTCGGAGCCGAACCCTTGGATTTCAAGGATGAACCCGATGCGCATTGAAACCTAAACCCTGCGTAGAGTCGCACCACAGAACCCTACACTGAACCCTTCCAGGACAACCCGTAATTATAGACCCCCCTTCTCCGAAACCCTAAACCCTAAAGGTTGGGATTAGACACCCTGAAGCCTGAACCCTGAAGCGTAGACACCAACCCGCAGAATACCTCTCTGTTGAAAGCCACGATTAGAGACCCCGTAAAACCTCGAGTGAAGAGCCCTGACAGACCCCAGTAAAGCCCCTCTTCTCCCGCTGCGAAACCCTAAACCGACCCGCAATCTGAAACCCTATGAAACTTTTCCTCCTTCCCCAAACCCTCCACCCCTTCCCCAACTTTTCCCAGACCCCTATTAGATTTGTTCCTCCTTCCCCAAACCCTCCACCCCTTCCCCAACTTTTTCCAAACCTTGCGGCGTCGTATCACGAGCTCAGCAGCTCGGCTTTGAGATCCCGGGCCTGTGATGTTTGGGGAGGTTCCTCGAAAAGTTTTGGGGCTCCGGGACCTTATAAGGGGTCTACAAGGGTAGTATCAAGTTTTGGGTTGTTTCTCGAAGAGTTCCGGTAGCAGAGTCCTTTAACCGGGCCTTTTGAGGGCTCCGGGACCTTATAAGGGGCCTACAAGGGTAGTATCACACCCCACATCGGGTTTCCGGGGGCGTAAAGGTTAGTTCAGGGTATTGGGGATTGGGGCAGGGGCTTTAAGCGTTTGTGGGTTTAGGGCGCTTTTTGCTGACTTTATCGTTTTAACTTCAGGAAGCATAAAAGTTGCGAGCTTTTTGTTGTGGGATATCTTGGGTCTTGTAATGGCTCGGATTTTTGGGTGTCTCCTCATTTAGGATGTTGAGAGGGCTGACGGCTGCTTGAAGTCTGTCGCTTCAGGTGAGATCCGCAAGTCTGGAGCCTGAAGGACTTGGGCAAAGCATGCAACGTAGGTCCCCAAACCCAAGCCCCAGGCCCGACTGAGACCACCCGGCGAGGAGCTTGGATATTCGGCGGCTAAGAGGGAACCTGATGAAACCCTAATCCTGAGGCTCCGAGCGCTCAGCACCAACGTTGTCATGGAAGCTGCCCCGCATCATCCGGATCCTGTCCCTGAATTTCAAAACCCTACATCTAAAGCTCTGGCGCGCTGTAGATCTACAAGGTTTGAGGTGGTGTTTCGGGGTTTAGGGCTGAGGCCCCAGACGAGACCAGAAACCATCGACGAATCTGAAAGGGAGTTCCATTGCCCTGAGAGCCAAACGCTGATATCTTGCAGCCGACTAAACCCGAAAACCGCAAAGGAAGCTCAAGAATCCCCAGACACGGAACCCCACACCCAGCAAGCCCCAAGAAGCTCCATGAGCTCCAAAAAGTCCGAACCTCCGAAGGGAAGCTCGCCTTGTCTCTGCCGTAGAGCAGCTCTACGACCCTCAAAGCGAAGGGGAGGGCCGTTCCAGGGCCTTGGCTTGTGACCTCAGGAGGTTTGAAGCGAAAGTGTAGGGGCTTTCGTATCTCGAAAGCGGTTCCTTTAAGGGTTCCTGTAAGGGACTCTTTATTTGGAATAGGGCTGTTATGATGTGGGATTTTGGAGTATAGATTTGAGTTTGGGCTCCAGGCTCCAAGAATGTAGCGAGCCTTCATGAAAAGACACACAGCACGGGAAAAAGCCAGGGTGCTACAAACAACCACCTGCTAACATGAGGGCGAGGATGATCATCAAAAGACTACTGTTCCTTGAAGGGCTCCTTCAGGGGATTCTATAAAGGTTACTGTAAGGAATACTCTCGGGGTCTACTATAAAGGCCTTAATGCTTCAGGGGATTCTATAAAGGTTACAAAGGTTACTATAAGGAATACTCTCGGGGTCTACTATAAAGGCCTTAATGAGTAGAACAGGCTTTCAATACTAAGGAACCCCGAGGCATACTACTTTGTAATATAGGGGCCTGCATTAATGATTAGAATAGGGTTCCTTTAAAGGGGTATATAAGGCCTACTATAATATAAGGGATCTACAAGGGTACTATATTTAATTGACTAGCCTAGCCAGGCTTCTGTATTCGCCCGAAGGTCTGCCAAACACCTTTCAAGTCGGCATTGCAGAATCTGTTGCTACGGCTTTCAAGGTTCCAGCAAGACAGGACATGTCTGCACTACATATCATGAAGCTTGATCCTAAATCCCCCCGTAAACCCTGAGACCTAAACTCTCTACACCCCAAAATCCCTAAACCCCATAAGCCCAAAACGATCGGGAAAAAACTGAGAACTTGGCGACTTTGCGATCCACGACGACAGCCGCGTTCCACCAGCCGGCGCAGGAAGCGTCCAGCACTTTCTTAAACCTGCTAGTCTATCGGGCTTAGGGTTTATAGGGTTTGGGGTTTAGTGGTTTACGCTTTAGGGCTCTGAGCAAACATGTCCGCAACTTGTGAAGTCTCTTCAATGGAGTCATAATAGCTACGCAATCCACAAGCTCACAAGGTGCATGCCTCATATGAACCAAGGAGTCTTTCTGTAGTGGAGGCCTCACAGCATAGCATGAAGATAGGTAGGATTAATGTACCTTAAACAAGGACTCTTGTTTTGGGATTACCCCACCTATCTCATCCCACCCTTGGAGACCCTTGAATGCAGTGAGGCTTCAACCGATCGGTGTCCTGTAGTAAAGTTACCCGTGCTAGCTGCAAGACTTCAGCTGAGCGTTGCCTACCGATGCCTTCTTGAGGAACTACGTACCATAGAAGCTTATATAAATAAACGAGCAATAATCTTCCGCGATCCCGAAACCCGATTCTAATCATGAAGGCCCCCGTAGGGAGCGCAGGAAGTGGAGTGCATAGTCTGTCGAGAATGTGCGGTTTCTGGACCGTCTTCGTCTGCATATCAAAAACCATTATAGCTTTATGGGTCAAGGCGAGCATAGCAGGATGCAAAGTGACAGGTGGAACAGTCCATGGATCGCAGCATGTATTCTCCAAACTTCTGGAGGGGCAAATTCCACCCACAACTCTTAAAAATTTGGAGGGCATTACCGGCTCTCTTAGGGTTGAGGGTTTAGGGTGTAGGGTTTAGGGATTCGGGTTTAGGGTTTAGGGTTCAGGGTTCAGGGTTTAGGGTTTAGGGATTCGGGTTTGGGGTAGCAGTTAAGTGGCATTTGGGCTTTACTTGCCACAGCCTTGCCCTCCACACCCAGCATCACGGCCGCCTGGGTGTCGGCAGGCTCGTCGCTTTCCTCGGTGGGCTCAGGACTTCATTCATTGAGACACGTGCAGTTCGGGTCTCAGTAAGTAGAGTACAGTTTTAGGCATAGCTTACAATCACTGAAAGGACTACAAGGGATATATAGATTTGCGATCTTGCAAGGCTTAGCCGCGTGACGCTGATGTCCCAAACTGCACCAACACAGGAACAGAACCCTGAACATTAACAGTACTTGAAATTCATATGCCTGTACGAACGTGCAGAAACATACATCACTGTCCATTTATGTATTCATTTATCCGAAGCCTAAATATCGTGTCGAGCTTCTCATCGAACTCCAGGAGGTCGTTGCCGGCAAGAACT